TTCCCTGCTGGAGTAGCAGACACAGAGTCCATCACTCAAATCCCACGAAGCTGTTCAGCTTCCAGTTCCACATCCTGCGGAGTTAAATCTCTGGGAGAAGTGAATGACCTGGGTGTCCCTCTGGGTGCTCTCCTGGAGCAGGGTAGCTCCTGGCCTGGGACTGGAGCTGGATATTTTGCAGAGGTTTCCAGTTTTACTGTCAGTCCTTTCCTCCTGAGCTCCCATTCACCACTTCCAGCTCCTTATGCATCTAACAGGGCTCAGATAAATGTGATATATTGATGTTTCACCAGTTTGAAACGAACTGCAACTACCAAACACAGGATTCATTTCATTCACCCCCAGCCATCTAGAAGTTAAGCATCTGGCTTAAACCCACTGTCTATAGTCAGGGGAGAGGGATGGACGCTGCCAGAAGGCAATTGCCTTCCTACTTATTTTAGACATCTTTCTCAGGCTAGGATCAATCACACCTTAAAAGCGCTCGCCTCCCCAAGACTGTAGAGGAACCTACAAAACCAACTTTTAGGTAATTAAGGTGTGGTGACTTGAAACCCACCCTCAATATTTGTTTATAAAAAAGCAGCTGCGAAACATGAGATCGGTGTGTTTAGGACTTTGATGGTGGAGCCAGAAGGGTTTGTGATGATCGCTCATGGTGACTCTGAGAATAACAACCTGGCCTCTAGCATTTAAGTTTTGCTCATCCTGAGTGTTTCAGGTTTTTTTAGTTGAAATTGAAGTTGAAGCATCTGTCAATTATAAAATGAATCTTGCCATAGAAACTGCTACCTTTGCAAATAACAAGGCTGTAAAAGAGGAGGAAGGAGAGACTGAAGATGTCCCAAGAGAGAGAAGGCCAGCAGGGGATTTTTAATAATTTAATAGCGACTGGAGTGCGAGCCCATGAAGTTATTTCTACACATGACTTTGAACATGCACCAAGACGTTGTAACTTTCAGCCCCTTGCTCTCTGAGCTGAATCAAAATGAATAATTTAGAGAAGAAAGTCTCTTGAACTGTTTGCCACGGGCTAGGAGGCTCTGTCGCATCGAAGAAGCCTGGACATGCCATCCCTGCAGGTGCTGGGAGGCTGTGGGGATATGGTGCAGGGACGGTGCCAGCTGCACCGGGGTTTCGGTCCTCCTTCAGCTGCCCTGCTGCCGGCTTCAGATGTTTTAGGAGACTTTTGTTTGTGAGTTGCACTCCAGCTTTCAACTGGTGGAGCAGCGTGTGCGCAGCAGCGGCTCAGCAATACGAGTAATGCTGCTAAGCAATCGGAAAGCGGCGGCGGGGGCGGGGGCGCCAA